AACCTGTTGTGCGTGGCGAGGCTACAGCGCTTGCGGGTGGACTTCCCTATTCTACCATCTGTTGATCACGCTCGGCACGCAACCCAAGACAGGCAGTTCGACCCCCACAGCGACAGGTACCATAGCACATTTAATTTTACCCGTTCCGTAACAATGCTGCGACGAGAAAAAGGGAACACATTCACCAAACATTTTTCATGCAAACCCACGTGCGCATGATGTATTCTACCGCATTATGCCGGCGGTAACACCTTGAACGGGTTCATGATACCCCGGGGGTCCAACATGCCCTTGACGCCCCTCATCACGCCGAGCACAGCTTCCGGCCGCTGCAGGGAGAGGTAGCCCCGCTTGTGCTGCCCCACGCCGTGCTCCGCGCTGATGCTGCCCCTCCTCGAGACCACCCACTCGAACACGAAGGGCTCCAGCGCCGCCAGCACGTCCGCGCGCCCTGCGGGACGGTTGGCGAGACGACGGTGCAGGGCACGGCAACGGCGGCAGTTCGGGGGGAGATCGTTGATGACAGAGAGAGAGAGGCGGGGGATGGGGAGGGAGAGAGGGAGAGGCAGACAGACTGACAGACAGATAGACAGACAGACAGAGACAGAGACAGAAGCAGACACAAGCAGACAGAAGCAGACAGAAGCAGACAGACAGGCAGACAGACAGACAGGCAGACAGACAGAGAGGAGGTGTGGTGTAGACGGGCAGCCCAAGGTGAACAAACGTACGACAGGTAACGGGCAAGCGCGACGCACGTACGTACTCGCCGCCGCCGCCGCCGGGGTAGACAGCATACCCCCTTCTGCACACCTCTACAACAACATTGGATTGGGACGACTGGGGTCGCAAGAACCCGCATGCATGGATGCGCCGTCTCTCCTTGTAGTTGTTGACTATGGCGGGGTTGTGCGGTTGGTTGAGGTACGGCGTGTGGAGAACACGGAGAAAATCGAGGGAAGGAGGGAGGGGGTGGTACGGTTGGCTGGCCTGGCTGTCTTGCGCGTGCGCGGCAGTCAGCCATTCAAGCTATTATCAACACCGGAAATATCCCGACTCTCAATTGCCTATCTTGGTCTATTTGGTGCATTTATTATGCACACAACGACCAGAATGCGGCCGGTAGGTTACTATGGCAGCACGCACGCCACCTTGGTCTCAACCGCCAAGGCACGCAATACATGCGTTCCCCCCCCCTCCCTCCGCCCCCCCCGGTGTTTGCCATCGGGGTTGGGTTTTCGTCGCTTGGCAACGACGTTGTAAAACAAACCCCCCACTCGGTGTTTGCCATCGGGATTGGGTTTTCGTCACTTGGCAACGACGTTGTAAAAGAAGCCAATTCACTTCATGAACTCGGCAACCAGGTTACCGTTTTTTTTTTTACCTCGGTTTTTTTTTTTGGCGGA